AACCTGTGCGTGGCGGCGCCGCCCCGCGCCACCCCCGAGGCCGCTTGGCCGCCGCTGCCCATCGTGCCCGCGGAGGAGCTTGTGGCCGGGGAGCCCTGCGAGAAGCCGAGTCCGAGCAGCAGCGCCGTCCCGGGAGAGCCGCCCGCCGACCCCGACGCACCGCAGGTCTGTAGATCCACGTGCTCCTGCTGTTTTGAGGCTTTCCGATATGTCCTTTCCCTCTCGCTTTCTTTGCGTGGTCTCCACGTAGACAGTCCCCTTGTCGCCATGTTGCGGCGGAATTTTTTTTTTTCTTCATAAGAGCTTTGGTTACACCTTAGAATTTTTACTACAACTTTTCTTTGAGTTTCTAGCAGTGTTCCCCTATGTTTCCGCGGTTTGAATGGTTGTGAGGTGCAAGTCTATGTCTGTGTGAATGACTGAATTAAGGAAAGGGCAGGCCATGCCTCTTCCATGGAGAGGATTTGGTTATTCGCTAGTCACAGCTGTGTTCAAGTTCTGCTGAGACGTTATGTGTTCAACACTATACTCTATAAATTACCATTCGTTCAGAACAGCGAATGAGGGTTTTCACTCCACAGAAGGAGATCCTCTGATTCTGCGTAATGGAGTCGAGAGTAATAAGCACTGAAGCTTGGTGTTGGAGCTATTGCCTTCGTCATTGATTTTTCCAGAAAGGGTGTACTTGGTAGTGGTTTATAGCTGTACACAACCCGTTCGTAAATATCGGGAGGGGGAGGGGGTTACGTATTGGACTTCCAAAGGAACCATGGTTGTAAAGATATGTTGTCCATCCCTAGAGAAAGAAGGTAATGTCGCCTGTTATTTTGGGGGATGCAGTAGTGGGATGGCTTGGCTTCCTTTTTCCTTTCTGGCTGTATGTTCTCTCTGGTTTACTCTTCATGATTTTTGTTTCATACTTAGGTGAAAGTGTAGAGTATTTTCTGTTTCATAGAGTTGTCTTTTCCCCATCCTCTTTACCTAAAGGGTTTGGGGTTTCTGAAGAGCTTTGTTTTATGTGGAACAGCAATTTTGTAGAATTCTTACTGTTTACATGGGTAGATAACTGAAATATGAAAATATCCAAGAATCGAATGTAAGGGAGGTTGGTCAAACGACAGATTTTGCACTTGAATCAAGCCTTACATATGTACAATCAAGTACTTACATATGTCTCAGCGGTCAGCAGGGTTTCGAGTCCTCGGCTATACTTTCCTTCTACTGTTTTATCTTTTTTTTTTTTTTTTTAAACGTGTACCAAAGTGAACAAGATAGATGAATACTTTCTTAACAAACTTCAATGCTTTACACATGGATTTCTGAGAAAAAGAAATATCTTTCTTGCGGCTATAAAATGATTAAATGTAGATGTGTATCATCTAAGGAAACCCTAAGTTTGTCCTAGATGGGAGATGAAACTTCTGAAGCCCTTCCAATTTCCTTTAGGATATTAGCTGCATCTTTATTTCTATTGATAATTCAATCGTGCTGCAATTAGATTTGTGACTTCAAGAAACATGCCATTGCTCCCGTCCCGCTTGTGTTCATGAGCCTTATAGCTCTGGCTATCCGGGAGTTGGGAGTATGTATCTGAAAGCCTGCTTTTGAACAAATAGGATAAGACTAAGAGTAATCTAGAAGTTAAAATAAGAAAAAAATGTTTTCATTTATATATACTGGCATTAGTAAATAATTAGTTACCCGTGCAGTAGAAACACCAAGTGCAGAGGATGCCTCTGCCTTTCTCTGGATCGTGATCACTTGGACGATCAAAGCAGAAATCTCCCGCAGAAAAGCCGAGGCAGGAGGTTCGCGCTGCACGGGACCGATGTCTGTCCATGTTGCCTGTCGGTCTCCTTGCGCTTCCCGTGGTCGAGGCAGGGCGGGCATGTCTCGTTCGCGCTCGGTGCGTGCAGTGCCGGGAGGAGGCTGCGGGCGCCGCTGTTGACCGAGAGGAGCGAGAGGAAGGTCGGAGCGCTGCAGCCCCGCCCGCTGCGGCCCNCGAGGCCGCTTGGCCGCCGCCGCCGCTGCCCATCGTGTCCGCGGAGGAGCTTGTGGCCGGGGAGCCCTGCGAGAAGCCGAGTCCGAGCAGCAGCGCCGTCCCGGGAGAGCCGCCCGCTGACCCCGACGCACCCCAGGTCTGTAAGCCCGCACATCCTTTCTTTCTGAATCTTTCGTAACTCTTGCTTGCGGCAAGGGGCTCTTGTTTTTTTTGTTGTTTTTTTTTCCCTCTCCCTCGGGCTATTAGTGCTGGTCTGTGCTTTCAATGAACGCGTGAAATAATCAGAGAGGGCGGATCTTTAGTTGGGGTGGAGAGTTTGCCTTCCCGATAGTTTTTCTCGAATCTGTGTATTTGGACCTTGTAATAGCTGGACAAACCCCCCTTTGGCTAGTGTTGTTTCGGTGTTGAACTCACAAAGGAAAGTTGCATGTGGCTGTATGAATATGTAAGTTACACCTCTGTGTGTCCTCCCATCTTTTGAGGGAAGACTTCTCCAGAAATGCTTACACTGCTGAGTCGGGTTAATTGAGAATCTCAAAAAGCTCTGCACGGGAGCACTAATTCCCCTGCCCTATAAAGCCTGTACTAAGTAAGGTTTTAACGAAAATTTCGGAAGTCGTGGATGGAGGATAGAGAGTAATGGAGGCTTATTCAGAGTTATCTCCGTTGTGCACGTGCAAAGTAGCAGGGACCGTCACTATACCGCTGGATTCGGTGACCAGTGCGACTGTTCCTGAGCAGTTTCCTTACTCCAAAATACTGTTTTGATCCGCTGAAAGGCTGAGGTAAAAGTCCTTCCAGCACCTTTGCAATTGGTGGCGGAGTTTCTGCTTGTGCATATTGATAGAGGGGTTTATGCATGTCATATCACCACGATGAAAACATTTTCCCGTGGGGAAATAACATAATAGTGAGAGGCGCTTTGCTTCTGCCTGGTCGTCATAAAATGCAGGATTAAACCATAGGTCGGCTGGACGAAAAGCGAGCTGTTCGTGCAGACTGTCCCGTCCCCGCGAGCTGCCCGTGGGCGAGGCAGGGCGGGCATGTCTCGTTCGCGCTCGGTGCGTGCAGTGCCGGGAGGAGGCTGCGGGCGCCGCTGTTGACCGAGAGGAGCGAGAGGAAGGTCGGAGCGCTGCAGCCCCGCCCGCTGCGGCCCGGCTCGATCGCTGGATCGCTGGATTCCTAGATCGGGAAGCGGTCGGTTTCTGATCTTCCCCGCGGTGCGGATCCGAGCTTTAGCGAGGCGGCGGGGCGGGCGGCAGAGGCCGGGAGTGGCAAGTCGGAGCCGGAGCGGGAGCCGGATCGGCGGTGGTCGGCGGGGATCTGCCGGCGGTGTTGCGGTGCCGGCGGTGCGGCGGCGGAGATGTGCGCGGCGGGGAGGCGCTGGGGCCGGCGGCAGCGAGTGCTGCTCTGGGGCGTCCTGCTGGCGGCCTGGGAGGCGGCGTGGGGGCAGCTGCGCTACTCGGTGCCCGAGGAGATGCCCAAGGGGTCGTTCGTGGGCGACGTGGCCAAGGACCTGGGGCTGCAGCTGTCGGCGCTCCTAGACCGTGGTGTCCGGGTTGTCACTGAAGGTAGGAGGCAGTATTTTTCTCTGCACGGGAAGACGGGACATTTAGTGACGGCCGAGAGGATCGACAGGGAGCAGCTGTGCCGGCTGGTGGAGCAATGCGTGCTGCGCTGTGAGCTGATAGTGGAGGCGGAGATGCAGGTTTACGGAATCGAGGTGGAAATCATGGATGTTAACGACAACGCGCCGAACTTCAAGGACACTGAGGTGGAGGAGAGGATAAGCGAGACGACAGCCCTTGGGTCGCGGTTTCCCCTGGCCAGGGCTCACGATGCGGACTCGGGACGGAATTCCCTGCAGAGCTACGAGCTGAGCGGCGACGAGCACTTCTCGCTGGCCGTGCAGACGGGCCCCGGCGGGGATCAGCGTCCCGAGCTGGTGCTGGCGAAGGCGCTGGACCGGGAGGAGGCGGCGTTCCACGAGCTGGTGCTGAGGGCGAGCGACGGCGGCGACCCGTCCCGGACGGGCACGGCGCGGATCCGCGTGACGGTGTTGGACGCAAACGACAACGCG